TGAATTTCCCGAACCCCTGGTCTGATCTGGGTGATTTCTGGATATGTTGTTCACCCAGATCAGGGCTACCAGGGGATGTATAATTTAAAATGGTACCCCTAAGTTTAGGGGTACATCCAGAAACGGGGGGAATTGGTGTGATGGATAAGGGGATTATGATGTAGGCTGAGGGGAGGAGATGTGTGGGAGGTTACCAGAGCAGGATTGGCTACTGTACAAATTAATGGAAATCCCTCCCTTGCATGGGAACAGGCTTTAAAAGGCCACTGTGTGAATAAATCTTTAGTTCTGCTCCTGATACTGTGTGTGGTCCAGTTATTGGGATTGCTGCTGGGATACTGCTGTGTTATTTTGCCTGCTGGATATTTTACCCTATGGATTTATAATTGCTTGTTCCTGAACCTCCCCGGGATCTAAAGTGGAGATAGGCTGTGTAATACCAGCTCTCCGGTACAGAGTGTCCCATTAAAATGTCAATCATTGCCTTACAATATTTAGGGATCAAGATTCCAAGAAACATTGGCTTAATGTATAAACTGAATATTCCTCCTGTTCTCTCCTCTATTTTTAATGAATTGGAACATTGGCACAAATTACCACTCTCATATATAGGATGGGCTAATCTCTATAATATAATTAGTTTCCCAAAGTTACTGTACCCGCTTCAGGTACTCCCAGTCTTGCTCTCCAAAAAACATGAATATCTTTTGAACAAAAAGTTGAGGCACTTTCTTTGGCAGGGGCCGAGGACCAGGCTGAGCCTAACTAAATTAAATCAAACCAAATGATATTCTCTCAAACCCTTTGGTGGCCTTTCCGATTAAGGCCTGGAAGTTGGCTCGTGCCAGCTTGGGGGCGAGCCTGCTGTTTTCCATACATCTGCCTCTGCTCCGGAATCTAGAGTTCAAGGATGGATATAACACATATCCATTTACAATGTGTTCAGGGCGGGGTCTTGGGTCCTTGGGTTTTTGACACGCAAAAACTTCTTACCATGGGCTGCCTCAGGGAGCGCTTCCCAGACCTTCCCATACCCTGGTTCGCAAACTTTCAAGTACAATATTATTTTTACACTATAAGTCAGCACCTCACGGCCTCCAATTGGAGTAATGCTCTGGATTATCTTTTATGCACTGCAAATTCAGCCTTTTATTCCATATCTACCCTACATGCCTTTTTACGATACACACCTAACTGGAACGCAATACAAATGGGTCTGGGGAAATGGAAGATTCACTTCACTGATATCACACCTGAAGACATCCAAAACTCACACTACACTCAAAGTCAACTGCTCCCCATGGTTTCTTATCGAGATATGTTCCTAAAAACCACACATAACGCATATTTTACACCGCATAGACTTCATCTCATGGCAAGGAATGACTCCTCTACCTGCTTTAAATGCATCCACACCAAAGCGGATATGTATCACTGTCTATGGGAGTGTCCCCTGATTCAGTGTGTGACATCATAAGAGGAACGAAAAATTCTTTCCTTTCTCTTTTCTCTTACCCCTTTACCTACACCAATGCTTCAATCGATAAAATCTTAACATATCATAACAGCCTTACAGAAAGTACAATAGACATATACAAAACATACAACTTAATCTCCAAAGGAGGAAAGGGGAGCAAGTAAAATTAACAAGTTTGTTTAAAAGTAACATCTTATTTTTTTAACACCCCTTAGCTGAAGTTAGAATCACAATTCAATTTAAACTGTCAGTTTTATCACACCATATAGATCTTAGAATGAATTCCGTAAGATATTCTCAGCATTTTTACTTTGTTATCTGAAAACTACTGTGGCAAAACCAACCTCGCCACTGGGCATTGGAGAAGCCTGTTTGCCGGCCTCCTGCCTGCTGCCCTGCATTAAAAACCTTTTATTTTCCCCATGTGAGCAGTGTTACCCCAGATAGCAAAGCCATGGAGCCCATTCATATGCCGAAAGACTATAGGAAAGACTTTGGCTCCAAGGTGATTGAACTGTATGCATGTGATCTGAGCGCCATCCAGTAGTAATGTGCGCTCAGATCTAAGCTATCTGGGGATAGATAGAATGTGTATGTTCTATGTGATGAATGTAATATGTAATTTTATGTCTTTTACTGTCTTTTTACTGCCATGTGTTCAATGGAGTTTTGGCTCTGTCCTTGGAGATAATTGGATTACTTCCCAATTATCTCCAGGATAGAAGACTCTGTGAAACTGGTTTTGGGCAGAAAAGCCATGCTTCATTTGGTCACAAAGGACTACGATCTATCTTTTGAACCACTGGACCAATTTGTATGATTTTGACGTATGTTTGTATTTGGAGTATGCTGATCCTGAAAATGTAAGTTGTATGTGAATGTGATGCATACTTTTAAAATTATGAATAATGTGGAAAAACTGTATTTCTCTGCCTGTGATAATTACATTACCCATTGTGTAAGGTAATTGTATCACAGGCAGAGGGGAGGATTTTGTGTGGGAGTGTCTGAGTGTATTGTACGTGTTTATTGGTTGTTTTCCAAAACCCTGTGGGTGGTACTAATGTGTAAGAATGTGTATTTAAGAACAATAAACCCACAGCTCTGTCAGTTCTGCTTGACCTCAAAACGAAGTGTCGTCTCGTTATTGGGGAAATTGGATTGTATGCTGATTGCCAGGAGTGTTAGCTGATTGTATGCTTTTCCTGTTCAGCTGCTTACAGCATTCATATGCTTGAGAGAATTCGTATGCTTCTCCGGTTCGGTGGTTGTGGTGTCTGCTGCAGTACTTGGAGTCCTCAGGAAGCGCTAGAAGCATCCTTCAACAGAGGTACCCAGTCGGGGTGCCAGGTGATCCGTTAAAACTACGTTGCCCCACACACAACATCACAGATACACATGCAGTGGTGTATTTGAGTGCACTGTTAGTGTTGGAATGTAGTAGTGTTTTTGTGTGCAGTGTTGGCACTGGAATGATGGCATGTATGCATTGTCACATGCATAGATACACACTTACACACACTGACACACATATACACACACAGGTACACATACACAGACACATATACACACTGATCAACAGGCAGGGCCATCTATAATATGATTAGGACCCTGGGCCCTGCTCCTCCCACCCCACCCCCCACCCCAATTACACCCAACCCATAATCACACTGACCGATATACTGACACATACACACACAGACAGACATATTAAAACATTTGCAGATACATACTGACACACACATACACTGACACACAAATATATACTGGCAGACATATTGACATACTGACACACACAGACACATAGACTGACAGATATACTGACATACACACACAGGCATACTGACACACACACAGGCATACTGACACACAGGCATACTGACACACACACACAGGCATACATACTGACACACACACACAGGCATACTGACTCACACAGGCATACTGACACACACACAAGCATACTGACACACACACACAGGCATACTGACACGCACACACACACATACACAGGCATACTGACACACACACAGGCAGACATACTGAAACACACAGGCAGACATACTGACACACACGCAGGCAGACATACTGACAAACACACAGACATACTGACACACATACACACAGACATACTGACACACACACACACAGACATACACACAGACATACTGACACACACATACTGACACACTCACAGACATACACACACAGACATACTGACACACACACACACACACACACAGACATACTGAAATACATTTAGCCACCCTCCAGGTTACCTTTTTCTGGAGGGTGGTTTCCCTGGGGTCCAGTGGCAAGCTGAGGCAGTTGGGAGTTCTCCTCTGGAACTTCTCTCCTCCTGCCTTTCTCCTCCCACGTGGCTGTGATCTCCGGTGGGAGGAGGTGACGCGCGGCACTCATTTCCTCCCAGCAGGCTGACGAACAGGAAGGGGCCCGGTTGAGCTGTTTAAATGTCACAGCGCCCGACCGGGCCCCTGCTGACACATGCCCACCGGGTGGCCCTCATTGCATGGACCAACCAGGGGGCCTCCTTAGTGTGCGGCAGGTGCGGCTATGTGCAGCCGCACTGCCTGGTCCATGGGGGCTGCTCCAATTGCGGGGCCCATGGGCCAGCTGCTCTGAGGCCCCCCAGGAGCAACTGGGCCCGGGGCAGTTGCCCCATTTTCCCCGTGTTAAAGATGGGCTTGCCCACAGGTACACATACACTGACACAAACACAGTCAGATACACACACTGACAAAAAAAGGCCATTTACACACACACACAGTGAGATACACACACACACACAGAGACAGATACACACACTGACACAAACACAGCCAGATACACACATACAATCAGATACATACACTGACACAAACACAGCTAGATACACACTCAGCCAGATACACATACTGACACACACACAGCCAGATACACACACTGACAAAAACACAGCCAGATACACACTAACAGCCTGATACACAAACATAGACAGATACACACACTGACTCAGACCCAGACTCAGCCAGATACACACACTGACACACACAGCCAGAGACACACACATAGCCAGATACACACACTGACAAACACACAGCCAGATAAACACTGACAGACCCAGCTACACAAAATGTAAGTATCATTTTACATAGTTTAGTCACCCTTCTGCCTCCTTACCTTTACAGAAGGGTGTCTTCCCTAGGGTCCAGTTGGAGGTGGATGGCTGGAGGTTGATGGGAGTCTGATGAACCTGGCTACCTCAGTCCCGCTTCTCCTCCTTGGTGTGTGCACCTTCCTCCTTATCCATGTGTGCCTCCTCATCTCCAGGGGCATTTTGTTACTTGGGAGGAAGTGATCTGACATCACTTCCTCCCAGCAGGCAGACAGACAGGGGCACAGTCCGGAGCACTCTTAACGGGCCAGGAGCCCCTGATTACTTTGCCTGCTGCAGCCCACTGTGAAATTTCTCAGGATCCCGGTCATAGGCGTGCGCAGCCTATTGCATTAGGGTGTGCACCCTAAAGCACAAGCACATGCCGCATATATATATGTATGTATGTGTATATATATATGTGTATATATATATATGTATATATATACACATACACATATATACACACATACACACACTGCTGTGTGTGTGTGTGCTATGTGAGGGTGCTGTTAGTGTGATGTGTGTGTGACGATGCTGGTAGTGTGCTATGTGGG